ACAATGTTTTATAAGCTCTTTAATGTTAAGAACTCGAAATCTGTATTGTGTTTGAGATAAAAATAAATGCACTAGTCATCATCTTCCATAGAGCCCACCCTCGAATGAGGCCTATTCTTGCCAATAAAATCCCAGTTGCCCTACTTGGAAGAGGCTCAAGTAATAATAATAATAGTTTCTATTTCTACAACAAGCTCTAGCCCTCAGGCACCCTGATCCAAGAGCTTTTCTGAATTCTGATTGGAGAATTCTTTTCATTCACTATACTTTCATCTTCCTAAATAATATCTTTTTGGTCTAGGGACATTACAGAAAGTCATTCTTCCTTGTTTAGATTACTTTTTCTTCCCCTCTAGGGTAAAACTCAGGTTCCCTGGGATGGAATCACATGGCTATCTGCACAGCTGCAGAAAACAATGAAAACCTCCCTAGCACTTGTATAGGCCTGAGTGAAGCCAATATCAGTCAATACGTAAAAGAGGCTATCAGGGAGCAAGCCCACCCTCTGGTAGTCAGTTTACACTCTGAGATTAAACTTAGCCTGTCCAGCCTTGTCTTGAAAAACCAATGGACTTACAACATTGTCCCCCACCACATGCTGCTTCCACTCATTAACCCCTTCTTTTGCCTCCAAATGTTATCCTGGCTCTTCTAATCACCCATTTCTCTGGTTAATGAACATCAGAAAGGGAAAATTCAAAAGGAGCTGGAAAGCCAAAAGGCAGGCTAAGTTACAGGCAGCTGGAGCCTTGGTCTCCTGGCTTTGGTGGGGAAAGAGTAGGAGCTATTTACTCGTGAGTCAGGTAACAAATGGGCCAATGCCAATGTCAACAAGCACCTTTGACTCAGTTTACCGAAGATGGCTAATGCTGCCTGCGATCATCTTAGTGCTATGCAGGTCTGAGAAACAGTGGCCAGTCTCTGAACAGGATCACTTTCTCTTCGGAGTGTGGGGGTGATGGAATGGGGAAAGACAGGGAAGAAGTGGGTATTCTTCCCTCTAATGTTAGTGCCTCTCTTTTCCTGCCCATTTGGTCCTATTACTTTCCAGAATTCATGCCTGTAAGCATCTGGGGCGCTATCTTTTCATCCTGTAAATCTCAACTCATAAACTAATGACAATATAATTATGTCAACATTTACAATGTGCTTATTGTAAGTATGGACCAGGCACTGTTTGACATGTGTTGTGTATATTAATACCATTTTTATGGGGAAGACCCTATCATGATACCACTTTGCCAATGAACAACTAAGGTACAAATGAAATAACTTTCCCGGGGTCATCCAGCTGGGAAGTGGAGTGGCTGGGTTTTGAACCTGAGGCAGGTAGAATTTTAATTGAGGTGAGCACCTTACAACTGTGGCTGATGATTGGGAGGTGACTGCTACACAGGAGGCCGGACAAACACGAGGAAAAGCAGAAGCAGATTATCAATCATTTATATTATTTTACCACTGACAGTGTTCACTGCCAGCTACTAAGAGGCTGCTATGAGGAATATCAGCAGCCTGAGCTCTCAAGCATGGCCTGCTCTAATCGAACTGACATCTTTGGGCCAAGAGATGACAGGCATGGGCCTCTGCTTCTGTGCTGTCATCAGGGCTATTTGTCAGTGGAGCATGCTTGCGGGGTCTCCATGTCCATGGGCTAGCTCTCATTATAGCCATTCTTTTGTTCTTGAAAATATCCTAACTATCTCTATGTCCCAGCACCCTAGAGACAGAAGCTGAGGAGGATGCCAGTTGGGTGTGCAGGCACCCCTGGGTGGTTTTATTTTATTCCACCTGTAGAGGGAGCCCATTTGCACAGACATCCATATACCCTTATGCACAGAGGAATATGTACATACACTCATAGCCATACAGCATTCACAGTGGAAAACAGGCATTTTCAGGATAGAAGGCATCCCATACTTGCTAGTATGTGTTCATTGTGACGTTCAGGACAGTAGCCATTTGAGATGTTATTCATTTGTATCAGCAAACACAGAACTGGGGCTCAGAAGATTATATTCTGCCTTGGTTAAATGATCCCCATTTTATAGATGCAGAATGAGGCTCAAAGAGGCTGATTAACCCAAGATGACCCAACATTAAAGCCACAAATGAAAAGCAGCTCTGCCTGGGATTTTGATATGGATTTAAATTCTTTGTCATCTTAGACTAAACACTAACTATTGCCACACATAATCCTTAATGTGAGTCAGGAAGTTCTGAGCACTTTATCCATTCAGTCTTCAGAATGTGGTGAGGCAGAAGTACTTATTCCACTTTGCAGATGAGAACGTTAACTTCTCCAGAATCACACTATTAGCATCTAGGGTGACCAACAATTCCAGATTGCTGGAGCTGACCTGGTTCCCAGATGCAGGATTTTCTATGTATGTATGTATGTATGTATTTATTTATTTATTTGGTGCAGGTACTGGGGCTGGAACACAGGGCCTCATATTCTCACTTGGCTTTTTCACTTAAGGCTAATACTTTACCTCTTGAACCATACCTCCACTTCCAGATTTTTGGTGTTAATTGGAAAAGTCTCTCAGATTTGGCTACCTGAGATCTCAGCCTCTTGAGTAGCTAGGATGAGTGACTGGCATCTGGCTAGGATTTTCAGTGTTAAAACTGATCCGTTCTAGGCACACCAAATGAACTTGTCACACTATTAGCATCGCAGACCAAGTTTAAAGTCAGATGAGGGATTTCTAATAGGATGCCCTTACCCAGCCACTGTCTCCATCTTCTTCCCTCTCCTTTATTTTTTATCTAAAGATTGAATTGGGATTTGGAAGCTGTTGTTTGGGGTCTTTCAGTTGGCTCCTAGTGTGTGCTCACTCCTAAACTGCTCTATTAAGTAGGGGTCCTTACGCCACCTCCAAACTCTGGGTAAGTATAACCCTTCACAGCAATTCTTGCAAATCCAAATCTGCGTCTTTGCAGATGTAATTCCAGGGCTTCCCAGCAAGAAGACGTAACCCACTGTTTAATTTAGAACAAGCAGCACTGGTAGCCAGGAGGGCCGGAAAAATACCAGTGCCACTCCCTGGGGTGATGCCTGAGAATTTGAAAGCCTGAACCAGATGTGAAGTTGACAGTGCTTGATGGGGGATGGGAGAGACCTGACACAGTCCAAGCCCATTCTTCACAGACATCACAACAATTCATCCATTTTGGGGCTCTCTGGCATCTTTGGAGTCATTGAGTTCTTTTCCTGGACACTTTGGGGGAAGGGAACAGATGATTCCCTGCTATAGATGACTTGAGTCTTTTGTTGAGTGTACATATGGTGTGTCAGGGGAGGTGGGGTGGGAAGGGCCAGCTTCTTTTTTTGGTTAACTTTTGCTTGGCTTCATTCAGTATTACTTTTAAACCATTTGGAAGTAAGCCAGGCATTGGAGGCTCATGCCTACAATCCTAGTGACTCAGGACGTTGAGATCTGAGGAGCAAGATTCAAAGCTATTCCCAGCAAGAAAGGCTACAAGAAGACTCTTATCTCTAATTGACTACCAAGAAGCTGCAAATGAAGCTGTGGCTCAAGTGGCAGAGCACCAGCCTTGAGTGAAAAACCTGACAGTGCCCAGGCTTTGAGTTCAAGACCAGAATTGGCACCAAAAACAAAACAAAAAACAACACTTTTAAGTAGCAAATGTCTAGCTTTTCACTTGGGGGAACTGAGCTATGGATTGGCTGTGTCTACTTCAGGATTCATTGGGAAGGGTTTGTAGAGGAGCTGGACTTTGTGCCTGGAGAAGATTTCCACATATCCGAACTGGAGATTTCTTTTTTCTTTTCTTTTTTTTTTTTTTTTTTGGGTCTGGTCATGGGGCCTGAACTCTGGGCCTGGGCGCTGTCCCTCAGCTCTTCAGCTCAAGGCTAGCCCTCTACCACTTGAGTCACA